TATATATGTGTATATATATTGAAAAAGTTATAATATATATTAAAAAAAACCCCACTTTTTTCAAGCTTCAAATACGCTTGCTTAGAGATCACCCATTTTCTGAAATGATGAGAAGGCAATGACAACCATACATTTCACAGAGGGTTAAGCATTATTACAGCTAGATGTCATGCAGTCACTTTCAAGCAAGAAATTGCTTTTCTCTGCAGTGTTTACAGACCAGGCTGCCCAAGTATTGGAATGGTTGGGGAAAAGTGAGAGGATGATAGTCCTTCAGGTATGAATGGCATTCAAAGTGCAGCCTTGTCCCTTGCTCACCTGCATGGCAGGTCCTAGGGTAGTGGCACTGGGGAAAGGAAGGGGAACCTGCCAACCTGCTGTGGAGTTGAACAGTGTGTTTTGACCTTGAAGCAAAATGGTGGGAGTTGGTGGACTTGGGTGCGATCCCTGGGCAGCCTCAGGCTGATCACCTTCTGTGTTCCTCTTGGTCCCTTCAGAACATGGAGTTCATCGTGTGTGTCTCCTTTTTACAGCGTTTGGAGATGCATGACAGGATGCATCACAACAAGTGTTTTAGAGCTGGGAGGGGTCTTTGCCGTGGTGCAGAGCTTCTGATGTGCACTCTGTGCCATGAACGTGGGCCTGGGACTCCAGCATCACCACACGTGCTGCTCTCCCTGCTCTGTCACATGGATCACTCTTATTAGCAGCAGCTAAACCACCCCTGCAGCCTCCCAGCTAGATCAGAGCTCTGTTGGAGGGGGAATCCTGGATCCCCTGTGCATGGGAAGCCACACTCATTGACTTTCCTTGCTCCTCCAGATCACCAGCACAGCGGAGTCAGAGGCAGTCACTACCCAGAAGCTAGTGAAGGGACACGCGTACTCGGTCACCAGGACAGAGGAGGTAGGTCTGCTGCTGGAGGGGCAAAATGCAGCAAGATTTGTGCGTGGTCCTGCCCAGCCACAAACACATCTTCATCACTGCAGATTCTTAAGTATTACATGTTTTGCTGAATCAGGCTTTGAGTCTTTTCTTAATGAAGGAACAGGCGGCACTGTACCTTAAAGCATAGCAGGAAGTTCAAGAGGGGTGTGCCAAGAAAAACAAACATTACTGTCCCTTCAGTGACTGCTGAACGCAGAGCACAGCACTGGAACACAAGTGCCTGTCCAAGAGTGTAGGCGAGGGCAAGACAAAGGAAGTATGCGTGGCATCCTTCCATGTGTGTGATGCAGTTACTTCACCAAGAACTGTTTCTGAAGTGATTCCTGAAACTTCAGCGTGAGGTGCAGAGAGATGCTGACATGCTGCACTGAGGAGGATGCTGCTAACAGGCAGGTTTACCTGTGTGCATATGGTCTTGAAGCTGAAGAGACAAAGAGGGAATGCGTTGACCTTGGTTCACAAAAGGCATGATTTAGCCAGGCTTTTCCTTTGGTGATCCGCGCAGGCTTTGCATCATCAGGCACTGGGATCTCATGTCTGGACTCTGAGATGCAGTTTCCTTGGCTTCAGGCTGTAGAAGTATGCCAGCTCCCTCCTCAAACTTACATGTTCCACGTAAGTGCTGGGTGTTCCCACTGGGACTCATATAGCTTCACTTGGCCTGCCCTCAGTGTGTGCAGAGATCAGCAGGTAAAGCCAAAGCCTCGGTGTGGTGTGAGGAGGGGCTGATGCTGCTGCATTGTGGGGCATCTGTGTGGTCAAAGGGGTTGTGGCCAGACCGAATATCGCATCTCCTGTAACAGGCTCATCTTGTATAGGGGGGGGGAAAAGGCTCTAAATGTGAAATGGCAATTCATATGCGGATGATGACTTTAGATTAATACCCCTTTGTACCTACTTTTTAACAGTCCTGAAGCAGCTGTATACATTCCCTTTGCTTGAAATCATATCAGAGGTAGGTTTTTTTTAGTAACAAAACAGACATTTTGGTTATGAGCTTTGATTTGTGCATTCTACAAACCTTCTCTGGACAGGCTTGGGTGTGAGCAGCTCATGCAAAATCAGTTTGATTTCATGTCTTTTGGACCAGATGAATGCAGATGTAGTCACATGTAGCACTGAGATACTTGCTCTATTGTACTCTTTGATTCCTGTAGAAAAGGTGGAAGGGAGCATAGTGCTGAGTTCCTGGGTAACTCTCCATGTACACTTTTAATCCCATCAGGTGAACTTCCGAGGAACCATGCAGAAGCTGATCAGAATCCGAAATCCCTGACGGGAAGTGGAGTGGACTGGGAAATGGAATGACAAGTGAGTTGATGGCTTGTACACTGCCAGTAGGCTTTTACTGCAGGGGTACAACCGCGTTTCTGCCGCCTTGTCTCTACCTCAGATCCCTCTGTAAGTCACATCTGGATGTGATGCTTGCTCTAAGCTACTTCGGTGCAGCATCCCATCACTGTTATCTCCCATGTGGGCATCACAATATGTGGCACCCTTCATGCAAACACCTGTATTCCTTAGCATTCTGTGATTTGGTTGATGATTCCTTACAAACCTCTCTGTAGTTTCTGCTTATTTAACAGCCCGGATTTGGTGGTGAGCTTCCTTGGATATTTACAAAGTGAGGTGTCTGATAGTCCCTGTATTTTAATTCTGCTGTGGTTTGGGAGCTCTGGAGCTCCTATTAGCTACATATTGTGGAGTGTTGCAGTCACGTGGAGCTGTAAGAGGTGAAATCATTGTGCCAGAGCAGCTACATTAGGGTTTAACCTTCACCATAGCCTGTAGTTGATGTGGGGCTGTCTTTCAGCTGCCCAAACTGGAGTGGTGTTGACCCTGAGGTGAGGGAGCAGCTGACCAGGAGGCATGAAGATGGGGAGTTTTGGTAAGTATCATTGGGTTTGCTTGCAGGCAAAGGGGATGTGTTCTTCTCTGTTATTTAGCACACAAAGTAGCCTCTCCCAGTACACTCTCCAAGACGAGTGAACAAATTTAACCCAAACCCTACCTAGTGCGGGAGAAAGGGAGGATAGACAAGGTGGCTGTATGGAAAACCGACTGCACAGAACAAATGGCATTGATTCCCACAGGATGGCGTTCAACGACTTCTTGAGGCATTATTCCCGCCTGGAGATCTGCAACCTGACTCCAGACACCCTGGCAAGTGACAAGTACAAGAAGTGGAGCCTGATGAAGCTGGATGGGAACTGGAGGCGAGGAGCCACTGCAGGGAGCTGCAGGAATTACCCAAGTAAAAGACACTGGAGAAACCTTTTACTCATCCAATATCTGAAGGGTGCCTACAAGGATGCAAGAGAAGGAGTCTTCATCAGGGATTGTAGCTTCAGGACAAGGGGTGATGGGTTTAAAGTTGAACAGGGGAAGTTCAGGTTAGATAGAATCTTTGTATCTAACCTTTATATCTGGAAGGGTGGTGAGGCACTGAAACAGGTTGACCAAGGAGCTGGTGAATGCTCTATCCCTGGCAGTGTTCAAGGCCAGGTTGGACAGAGCCTTGGGTGACATGGTTTTAGTATGAGGTGTCCCCCATGGCAGGGGGGTTGGAACTAGATGATCTTAGGGTCCTTTCCAACCCAAACTGTTCTATTAATTCTATGATTCCACTTGTACTTTCTCTGGGAGCTTCTGGGAGCTGGTTTGGGGTGGCCTATGGAGGAGGATGTGCCTGGGATGCTGAGAACTGATGTCCAAGAAGTAAGTGTTTGGGAAATGTGATTGGGAAACCCTGATAGGGTCTAGTTGTGTTTGTAAAGGCTGGAGATGGGGGGAGGTGTGTTAGTTTTTTCTTTCTCACAGATGATTTTGGAAGTCAGAGCCCCATTTTTGATAGCTGATGTGTACGATATCAGCACAGTTGCTTTCAGAGAAGCCTCTGAGGAGTTTGCATAAATCCACTTTCCAGACACTTTCTGGACAAATCCACAGTATTTAATCAAGCTGGAGGAAGAAGATGAGGACCTCGATGATCCTGAGGGGGGATGTACTTTCCTCATTGGCCTCATTCAGAAGCACCGGCGGAGGCAGAGGAAGATGGGAAAGGACATGCACACCATCGGCTTTGCGATTTATGAGGCAAGTTAAGGCAGTAGAGGTGCATGGAAGGAGAAGGAAAACTCACTGTATAGATAGGGTAGTGCATTAGGGCTTCGTAACAGATTGGGCTTTGTATTGAAACTCAACCAGCTACAGCAACGAAAATTCCTCTTGGGTATTCAGGAAATTATGCCCCATAAAACCAGCAGTCAAGCAAAGGTACCCAGGGAGAGGATGAAATCTGGATTAATTGTTAATGGAGCTATTCAAACCTAGGCTGGACAAGGTCCTGAGCAACGCTGTTAACTTTGATACTAGCATTGCTTTGCATAGTGGGTTGGACCACATGATCTGCAGAGGCTCTTTCCCACCTATGTTTTGGAATGGAGGAACAGAAAACCCCTTTAAATCCATCTTTAATCAAACTTAGAAGTGTGGAAATCTCATCTCCACTTGTCAGGCTTGTGAGCAAGCAGAGTGAGAGCAGCCATGGTAGGGATGTGACCCTAGCATGCCTGTGCTGGCTTGGGGAGTGTGAAACCAGCAGCAGAACCAGCCAAAACACTTGTAAAATTGCTGGAGGAAGGGTGGGAGATGTGTCTGTGGTAACTCCTGAAGCAGGATGTTTTGTAGAAAGCTGCAAAGCAGTGGTGCTTAACTGGCAGTGAAAATGGGAATAATGGTCTTACCTGAGGGTTGCTCTGTAACTATAGGCAGTATGTGCCACTGCTTGCTGTCTCAGTGTCCCAGCTTTAGAAAAGCTTGTCAAAGAAACTGCTCCCTGTAGGCAAATAAGGTCTAAACCAAAGCTAGGTCCCCTGAAGCCATAAGGAAACAGAGAGCTGTGTTATTGTCTTTCTCAGCCCCTGATGGTGGAGAGGTCAGAGGGGTGGGCGGGTGAAAGACTAGGGGGAAAGAAGTAGCAGAGAAACTGAATCTCCAAAAGCTATCACCATAGGCAGCAGGAAACCATGACCAGCCTGGCTGTGTCTGTGCCAGGCTGTGCCCACACTGCCTCCAGGATGGATTTGGGAAGCTGAGCAGTCAGCATTGGGTGATACGGGCTCAGTGATCAGTTCCCCCTCAAGCAGAGTCTTTTTACCAAGAGTGTAGATGTTGACCACTAACCAATGGTGAAGAGCTGATTCAACAAGCAGGTAACACTCTCCTTTTCTTCTTGCAGGTGCCCCCAGAGGTATGTAGCATGCATTGGTGGTCAAGATGCAGAGTTGGGCTGAATGGCTTTTGGGAAGAAACAGTTCAGAGGATCTTCCTTCACTGCAGGACAGTATTGACTGTGCAGAGTCTAAAGTTTTGAGGCCCTTTATTCTGGAAGGAGCCTTGAGCTCATGGTGCATTTTCAGTGTCCTGGGTTGGGATAAGAGCTGTACTGTGGAAACTCACCAAGGCTGCTCTTCCATGGGTCTTCTCCCAGCCCAGTGCCATGCCTGCTGCCCCTCAGTGCAGCTGCTTTCCTCAGGCTTGCACAGAGTTTGTTTGACACAACTAATATTCCAAAGAGGTGTTTCATTTTCATCTACCTGAGCACTGTCTGTATCAGTTTCTCTCTGTTTCTACCTGCAGGACGCTAATCATATGCCCTGGGGATCAGAGAGGGGTGTGCAATGCAGTGATACCTATGCAATAAGGGCTGCAGACACCTCTGAGCTGCTGCTCCTCAGAGGAAGGAGTGAGGTTGAGCCTGGGTAACCTCAGAGCAGCCGGGGCACCTCACAGTGCTGGAGGCTATGCTCAAACCAGCTGCTCTTATGTAAAACGTGGTTTCCTCAGGAGAGGAAGTGGTGCTACTGGTTGATTGAATTTCTTATGTACCTTCTGAATGCCTGTCAGCTGCTCAGCCGGCACCCTGGTGGTCCAAAAACCTGATTGCCATAAAAAGAAGAAAAAAAAAAAGACTCCACCAGCTACAGTCCCATGAGGTTTCTTTTCCCCAAAAGGTGGAATTTTATCTCCCACCACGGCAGCAGGTCTGACAGGTTCTGCATGCTTAAAAATCCAGGAGGATGGGAAGGGGGCACTTTCTGGGCCTTATGTTTGCTTCTAGAGCTGAGATAACCCACCTGTAAGACCCTGTGCAGGAGAGTTTCTTCTGAAAGATACCACACTGCTTTTATACTGCATAGAGTATTGTTCTTGGAGCCCTCCATGAGCAGGCTCTCTGCTTTAAGGCTGCCTGACCTGTGAGGCAAGTGCTGAGCTGCAGTCTCCAGGTGGCACCAGTTTTGGGGACCAGAGGAATGGGTGTCATAAGGCATCTCACTCTAAAGAAAACCAGTTGGTGAAGAACTTGGTAAATGCCTTCACACACTCATCACCATCTGCAAAACATAAGCATGACCTGAATGGCTTACTGAGATTGATCTGCAAAACAGAGCTGCAGCTCTGGAGTACCATGGTGGGGTGCAGCCACCCCCTTTCTCTTCTTTCATTCAGTTCTGTTGAAGTGGCATAGCTCACTGCCGTATCTATTATAGTTGCAATCTGTAAATGCAAATACAGGTAAAATATTGGGGGGTTTCTCTCTTTTTTGCTTTTTATAAGTTTTCAGGCCAGACAAATATTCATCTGAGCAAAAACTTCTTCCTGACCAACAAAGCAAGAGAAAAATCAAACACTTCTATCAATCTCTGAGAAGTGCTGAACC